AATTAATTAATCAAAATTATTAACATATAAGTAATATTAAAATATATATCAATTTTTATAATTTTTAATAGATATTAATTATAAAAAATTTATTTATTATACCCTTAATTTATACTATTAAAATATAAATTAAATTAACCCTTTCGTTTTTTAACATAAAAGAATGCAAAAAAATAAATATAATTTGATTGCTATCGTAACGGATGAAACTCTAACAAATACTATAATTTCAAAAGGTCTAAATCAAGAACGCCAAAACTGCAAATGTTAATTTGTATTATTAGAACACGGATTAAATAAGCCCTTTCACGTTGTAACTCTGCGAACTAAATGTGATTCACGTGGATAGGGTCTCTTTCAAATCGGTAGGCGAGTCACGTTATGATAAATTAAAGAGTAACGTTAAAAGTAGATGGATGATCCGACATCACATTCGCATCGCAAGTAAGAACTCTTTTCTTGGTGCATTAGTTAGGTGCTTTACTGGTGTCTTATTATTGTCACCTATTATTGTTGGTACAGGGATCGAGTTCGTTTCTTTCGAAATTGTCTCCAGTAATGTCTGCTGCTGATATTGACGTTTGAAGGAATATCATTTGAAGTAGTGTGAAGCCATGGCCTTGATGATAACTCAACTGGGTCTTCTAATTCTTTAATGGGCACTTTTTTGTTGTCCATATATTTTTTTATTCGTTTATTCTCAATCGTGGAAAAGAAAATAATTTTTGTTAGCCTTAGAATTTGGAATAAATCAAATTCTAACTGTAACTTTTCTTTGTATAAGTTGAGCAAATTTTGGGTTTATAAAAAGTTTTTAAGGGATTGAAAATGAAGTCTTGTGAAAGGTATTCGGAACACTTTTTAATCGTATTTTAAAACTTGGATTGGACTGTTGGTTTGATTAAAATTGATCTTAAAAATAATATGAGTAAAAATTAATAAAATTCAGTCAAATTTAATTAATAATTGATAAAATTAGTCAAATTTAATTTGACTAAAACTTGAATTGGTTCATATTCTTTAATTTTTTACATTTTTTAATTTATTTATTTTATAAATAATATAATAATTTAATATTAAAATTTATTAACGATGTGTTAATATAACTTATATAAGTGAAAAGAGTTTGATTTTTTTAAAATAAAATTTTAAATTTGAGTTTTGTAAATGAAAAAATAAGTGTTGGAAGAACTTTTCTTTAAGATCTAAGGTAACTCAATTGTGAATTAGTCGTGGTTTAATGTAATTTTTAGATATTGAAATATTAGTATAAAAAATTAAATATTAAAATTTATTTAAAGTCAATTTTTTTGGTACATATGATAAGCTCTATACTTTCTTTTAGAGTTTATTTGGTATGACAGTTAAAATTTAGTAAATAACAAGTAGTGAATAATAAATAATAGTAGTGGGTAACTAGTGATAGTTAATGGATAGCTGGTGACGAATAACATGTGATGGATTGTAAATAGTGGATTAAATTAATATAATTATTTGATTATATAATAATTAACAATTATTATTTAAAATTAATTGATTAATAAGAATATATTTAAAAATAATTAAGTGTATTTTTTTATATTTTTTGTTATTAAAATTATTAATTTATTAAAATAATAAATAAATTATAATAATGTAATCACATACTAATTTTTTTAATAAATAAAAAATTATATTAGTTTTAAATAAGAAAAATCATATTAAGTATAATTTTTTTTTTTAATTTTTTCGCCCAATTAGTAAATTTTATTTATTAAGTTAATATATTTTTGGTTAAAATCCCTTTTTGGTCCCTGAACTATTGTACGGACCCCCAATTTTGTTCCTGAACTAAAAAAATCCTTGATTTGGTCCCTACTGTTTACCATTTTTACCCCGATTTGGTCCTTTCATTAAAAATTGTGTGCCGTGGCCTGTTATTTCATGGTTACCAATTGACATGTCATGCAGTAATCCACGTGGAAGATAATATAGCCAAAAAGTGATGATGTGGAAAAAATAATAATATAAAAAAATATTATGAAAAATAAAATTTAAATTCTTTTTTCTTTTTTCTTTCTCCTTCTCCTTTCCCTTTCCCTTCTCTTTCCCCTCGAAACCCAGCAGGCCTAGGTTTCTTGCAAACCCAGCACGCTTGCCCAGGTTGGGTTCCAAGGAACCCAGGCCTGCTGGGTTCTTCGAACCAGCTAGGTTCCCTCGAACCTAGGCATGGGTTCAACGGAACCCAGCGCCTGGGTTCCATGGAACCCAACGGCGAACCAGCTGGGTTCCAAGGAACCCAGGTGCTGGTTCCCTCGAACCCAGGGGTAAAAAATATATATATTTTTTTTTTGTGGGTTTGGTGTTTGATGATGATGTGTTTGATGATGATGAAGAAAGCAAGGCAAGGAAGAGGAAGGAAAAAAAAAGGGCGTTGTTGGGTTCAATTCAACCCAGGGGCTAGGTTTTGTTTGTTAGAGGAAGAAGATGATAGCAAATTCGTAATTTTGGTGGACTCCACTTTTGTTGGGTTGGGCAAGGACATGACATATCACGTTGCCATGTCATTATTTATTCATTTATACAACTGATGTGTCTCAAATGTTTGACATGTCATTAAATTGTCGTGAGATAACGGTGAGATTTTAACAGAAGGACCAAATCGAGGTAAAAATGGTAAACAGTATGGACTAAATCAGAGATTTTTTTAGTTCAGGGACCAAATCGGGGGTCCGTACAATAGTTCAAGGACCAAAATAGGGTTTTAACCTATATTTTTATTAAGTTTGAATTTTGTGAATGAAAAAATATGCACAGAAAGAATTTTTTCTTTTATGAAATTTAACATAATTCGATTTTAGATTAATTATAATCTAATGTAACTTTTAGATACTAAAAGATTAGTATAAAAAAATTAAATATTAAAATTTATTAAAAGTTTCCATTGTTCCAGGAGTGCAGTGGAGATGTTAGAGGCAGAGATGAGTGAATCGTCAAGCAGCCTGAATTCGTCAGTTGGAGAGGCCACTGATCAGCAGACACCTCCGGACCTTGAAGTCTTCAAAAGACATCAAAACATTACCGTATGTTTTCATAATCCATGTCTAGCTATTTAGTATGACATTAAGTATGACATTAACAAATATAAATTTCAGTGATTTAATGATTAAAAATTTAAAATTTTGAATTAAAAATATCAAATTCAATTCTTGAATTGAGTGGAGAGCCATTTGAGAATAAAGAAGTGCTATTTCATCTTACATAATCAATAATCAGATGAAAAAAAGAAAAAAGAAAAAAAAAACGTTAACAAATGTCCAATGTGGTGAAATTGCGTTCTCAGCAATTTATATTTTACATGATACTATACGTCTGTATTTGTTGGACTGAGTTTATTCACAAAGTAATATCAAATATCTTATTATGTTTTAGGTCACATTTCAGGTCAGGATTGATCATATGGCTGCTGCATTGTCAAAGACATTTAGATCACTAGTAGTTTTGGTATTAATCTTTCAGTATTCGATAACTACATTGGATCTCAATTAATCCGGAATCGAGCCGTGTCGGACCCCATTAAAGGAAAAACTCTCCCAACGCCTGTTTCTCCATTCACAAAACTCGAACTCAAAATTTTATTTAAAGGAAACAGAACTCTTTCCATTCAGACTAACAAGTCATTAGTAGATCGCCAGAAGTTGATACCATACAATCTCTTCCACAACATCAACAGGTAAGTTTGTGCTAGTAGCATATGAACTTCAATATACAAGTAGCATGCCTTCAAAACAAATTATACATGAAAACAACCGTTTTTTTCTTACTACCAACTCCACTCATTTAAGGTATGACTGCAGATAATATTATGCTCTGCAGCAAAGTTTTTTCGGGGAAAAAAGAAGGATACAACTATAGAAGAGGTTCATTTCTTTCCTCTATTTGATAATAAAATTTTCAAAATATATTTAGCGTTCTGTGATTAATATTGAAATTTGTTGTGCGAATGCAAGCTAAATAAATCTTACATAGGTATTTGCAAATCAGCACAGATATATACAACCAGTCGGCATCTTGGAACTTTTAAGCATGTGCAGAGTGCTAAGTGACAAGGTAAAGTTTTTAATCCATGGTTATTTTATGTAAAGGAATTTTTTATCACGTACTTTTAGAAACGCGTAATAAATATATATTTTTTATAAATTAATTTTTATTAAAAGTATAAATATTTAATTTTAATTTAATTAATAAATCAATAAAAATCATTCAAATATTTATGATATTAAAATATATATCAATTTAAAGTTTTTTTAATATAAATTAATTATAAATATATATTTATTATACTTTTAACTTATACAATTAAGATACAAATTAAACAATAATTTGAGGAACGTATAACTCTTGCGAACTAAATGTGATTCACGTGTATAAGGGCCCTTCAAATTGGTAGGCCAGTCACGTGTTGATAAATTAAAAAGAGTAACATTAAAAGCGTAAAGGAGCCCTTCAAATTGGCATAATTATTGATTAAAATTGGTCTTAAAAATAATCTAAATAAAAATTAATAAAATTTGGTCAAATTTAATTAATAATTGATAAAATTAGTTTTGGTAAACATTAATTAAAAATCGAATTGGTTTATTTTCTTTAACTTTTTATATTTTTAAATTTATTTATTTTATAAATAATAAAATAATTAAATTATTATAATTGAAATTAATTTAAAATTAAATTATTATTTTAAATTAGAATATAAAATAATTTAAAATTAAATTAATTCAATTTTTAAAAGTAGAAATGATTACTTTAATAAAATAATTTTAGATGACTAATAAAAAAAATATAAGGTATATTTAATAAATTTAAGGAATGAAATCAATTTTGAATCAATCAATTTTAGAAATATAATGAATTTTAAAAAGTTTTTAAAATTGCTAATAATTATTATTCCATTTTGATGAATAAACGTAAAAATGATCTCAATTAATTGTAAAAATAAATACAATTAAAGTAAAAATAAATTTATGATTAATAAAATAGTTTCTTAACTTGTGTGTTTAATATATAAATTAAAAATGTATTTATTATACTTTTTTATTCAACGTGAAAAGACTCTTTTTTTTTTTGTTTAATAAGATAAAAATATAATAATTAATATATAAAATTTTATATTTATTTTAATTAATTATTATTTAAATAATATTTTATTTTTAAATTTTGTTATTTAATATTTATTTTTTTTAAATATTTATTTTGTTAATTTTTAAATAAAAATATTAATTTTTAATTTTTTTTATTTAATGATAAATTTGATGATGATATTAACATGATAAATAATTTTTTTAATTTGGATGTTGAAAATTAATATTTTTTTTAATTGAAAAAATTTAAAATTAATATTTTTATTTAAAAATTAATAAAATAAACATTAAAAAAAAATAAAATTAGCTTCTTTCCGGTGTGAAGTCCCTTTTCTTCCTGTTTCTCTTTCTCTTGGATATGTATAAATCTCTGGCGCCGCATTTTGATTTCCGGTGTTAAGTCCCAAGGTATATGCTTTGAGAATGACCATGGGAACCCTAGCAGTTCCGTCCCGTCGGTTCCCGTTGACTCTTGGTTTCTCATCTGCTGCCACTGTTTCTGCTGGCTTTAACCGGAGATTCTCCAGCTTGAGTTCCAGGTCTCTTTCTCTTCCGAAGTCGAGCTCACGTCGACTTACACTCAAATGCTGTGCTTTATCAGCTCCCTCATTAGGTATCCTCGCTTTCTAATCAATTTCAAAATGATAGCTTTTGGGGATTTTTTTTTTTCCTGTTTGGGTTCCTGTGAAAACTTGTAGACTAGAAAGTTAATTGATTTGTTCATACTTCTCTTCTCCTTCTTCTTCTTCTTCTTCTTCTTGTTTAAATGGAATTCGTTCATACTTCATTGGGTTCTCATTTCGTGGATAATTGAAAATGAAGCAATTCAGATTCTTATTTTTTATTTTTCCCTGAAGTAGAAGTAATTTGACAATGGGATTATTATGTCCAATTAACGATGAAAGATTAATCTTTGCCGATTTTAATTGTTTTAATACATTACATGCAGTTGAACAGTCAGAAAAATTTCGAGAAGCTTCCAAGAAGGGAAATTTAGTTCCTCTTTATCAATGCATATTGTCAGATCACTTAACTCCCGTGTTAGCATATCGCTGTTTGGTTAGGGAAGATGATAGGGATGCTCCAAGCTTCCTGTTTGAGTCCGTGGAGCCTGGTTTACTGGGCTCAAACATTGTGAGCTCTTTTTTTTTTTTTTTTTGGGTGTGTGTGTGTTTGTGTGCCCGTGTTTGTTTCTGTGTTATCGTGAACAATGGATTAATAAAATTACCTTTTGTTAATTATGGTAGGGAAGGTATAGTGTGATTGGAGCTCAGCCAGCCATAGAAATTGTGGCAAAAGAGAATATGGTAACAATTATGGACCATGTGGAGGGCCATAGGAAAGAGGAGATTGTGGAGGATCCAATGGTAGTTCCTCGCAGAATCATGGAAGGATGGAACCCACAACTTATTGATGAACTTCCAGAAGCCTTTTGTGGTGAGTGAAGTCAACTAATGTATCAACTTTATGTTCACTATTTTGCTCTTGCCCTTCTAATAGGCTGAAAATCTTGACTTTACTTCTTTAAACCCTTTTTTTAAAAAAACATAAAAAATTAAAGCACTAAATTGTGTGTAATGATACAATCTGTTGGTGATCAGGTGGCTGGGTTGGTTATTTCTCATATGACACAGTGCGTTATGTAGAGAAGAAGAAGCTGCCTTTCTTTAATGCTCCCATGGATGACAGAAACCTTCCTGATGTTCATTTAGGCCTCTATGATGATGTGATCGTGTTTGATCATGTGGAAAAGGTACTCTTATTTTGACCTTGACCTTGTAATTATTTCCTTTTCCCTTGATATGTGTGTGTGAATATATGATTCAGTTATTAGTTCATTTTGGTTTGCTCTTTGACCTGGTAATTAATTAACCTCAGAAAGCGTATGTGATTCATTGGGTTCGATTGGATCGATATTCTTCTGTTGATGAGGCCTTTAATGATGGCATGAAACAGTTGGAAACTTTACTATCCAGAGTACATGATATAGTTCCGTGAGTAATCTTTCTTATTGTCTACACCCCATCTTGCATTTGTTGCTTTTCCTTTTAATAATTTAGTTTTAAGCTGTTTAATTGAACTGTAAATTTCAGCCCAAGGCTGCCTGCAGGTTCAATAAAGTTATTCACTCATCTTTTTGGCCCTAAAGTGGAGAACTCAAGCATGACGAATGAGGAATACAAGGAGGCTGTACTGCAAGCAAAAGAGCATATCCTAGCTGGTGATATTTTTCAGATTGTACTGAGTCAGCGTTTTGAACGGAGAACATTTGCTGATCCGTTTGAAATTTATAGAGCCCTTAGGATTGTCAATCCAAGTCCATACATGACTTATTTACAGGTTTAGCTAGTATTCTTTTCATTGCCCTTGGAATGTCACTTGATGTTAATGTTCTAACCTTTTCATATGTTCCTTTCATCAGGCTAGAGGATGTATACTTGTTGCTTCAAGTCCAGAAATTCTTACACGTGTAAAGAAGGTAATAATTACAAATAATCCTAAGAATTGTTGAATATATTATTTGATGCATCCCATTCTATAATTATAATTGCTTTTCCATCTTCTTGCTCACCTGTCAGATGATCATGAGTTTGTTTTTTTGCATACAACACTGATTTCTATCTTCAATTTAAATTTTTTGGCAGAGAAAAATTACTAATCGCCCCCTTGCTGGGACTATTAGAAGAGGAAAGACACCAAAAGAAGATTTAATGTTGGAAAAAGAGCTTTTAGCTGATGAAAAACAATGTGCAGAGCACATTATGCTAGTTGACTTGGGACGTAATGATGTTGGGAAGGTTTATGCTTCACTTATCAATCTTTTTATCAAATTTTGTTTGGTCAGTGCAAAATGTCGAAAATGTGGTTTACTGACACGCTGCACATTTCCTTGAAGTCTCTGGGGTGCAATGGGAGATGCAGCTAAATCATGATCTGGTTTACCTGCTAATAATGCATAAAGACAGAAATATATTTTGAGAGATCTGATATTGTCTTACAATATACATGTAACCTTGAGCCAATCTAAAGCAGGTTGTTCATGCAGGTTTCCAAACCTGGATCTGTGAAGGTTGAAAGGCTGATGAATATTGAACGATATTCTCATGTTATGCATATCAGTTCAACAGTATGTTACCCTTTTGTTGCCATTTCCTTGGGGAATTCTGATGAAGTGATGATGCTAAGATTTTCTTATCATGAGTGATGAAATCCACACTTCATTTTGCAGGTGACGGGAGAGTTACTTGACAACTTAACTAGCTGGGATGCCTTGTGTGCAGCATTGCCTGTTGGAACTGTCAGTGGAGCACCAAAGGTTTTTTCCTATTTGCCATTGTTTTCCACTTTTGTGAAACATTTATCTTTTACAATTTGACAAGGTCTCTAAATTTAAGAATGCATGAGTAGTAAACCATTCCATTTGTGAAAAAACTCAAGCATGTTGATTTCTCCTGATCAACCTTTTAATAGTTCTCATTGTCATCATTCTATATTGCAGGTGAAAGCCATGGAGTTGATCGACAAGCTAGAAGTCACAAGGCGTGGACCATATGGTGGTGGATTTGGAGGCATTTCATTCACCGGTGACATGGACATTGCTCTTGGTCTGAGAACCATTGTTTTTCCAACCAGCACCCGTTATGACACCATGTACTCCTACAAAGATGTTAACAGACGCAGAGAATGGGTTGCTCACCTCCAAGCAGGGGCAGGAATTGTAGCTGACAGTAATCCTGCTGATGAGCAAAGAGAATGCGAGAATAAAGCTGCCGCCCTTGCCCGAGCCATTGATCTTGCAGAGTCTTCATTTGTTGAGAAATGACTAAAGATCCATGGCAGACCCTTCTTCCCACTAATACCTGCCCTGCAGGAACCCAAGATGGTTTTTTTCTTCTTTTGGTTTGCCTGTTCAATCAATTCAGACAAAACTGCCACAGGGTCTACTTTCTGTTTACCCTTAGAACTTCTTGAAGCTATAAAATGTGGCATTTGCTTGTTTTATCATGATGCTGGCTGGCTATGGTTTGACTGTTCTGGAAATAAGAAATTTTTTTTTTTTCCAAAAAAAAAAAAACCCTGAAATTAGCTATCTAACTGTTTTATTAACAAATTGAGAAGAAAGATCGATGACATAAAGCAGGCATTGATCTAGAAGAAGATGTGAGCTTGTCTATGCCTACGAAAATTAAGTGCAATCTAGGGATTCGATTAAGGAAGAAGATGATTCATCCAATTCACAAGTTTTACGCTTTTTGGGTGCCAAAAGAAAAAGAAAAAAAATGGAGGAATACAGATAAAAAGAGAGGCCGACAACAGGACAAGGAAGGATGGATCAGGATCCTTTTTTCTTCCACGTCACAAACTCTATCAGACAAGGAAAAGATTGTTTTCTTCTAAGACAAAACTACTCCAAACTGCTCACCTAAATTTCAGGTTACCTATTTATCTGTCCCCCAAAAGCTTTCTCAAGACAGTTTCATGGTGTTTGGTCATAAGCCTTCCTTCAACACAAGGTGCTTCTTTCTCTCTATACTTTCTTTTTTCTCTTTTGCAACCTCTTTTCTGTAATAATTTCTGGGTGCCTCTGAATTCTGGCCAACTGGGTTATAATCTTACCCATTTTTTATCTTCATTAACTGCATGTTCTCTTTTAGCTAATTTCTTTGTCGATTCTCCGGTTCCATGTGATTGTCTGAATTGAATAAACTAAAGCCCCTCAAGTCGTTCTGCTGATGTACTGCCCTTTTGGGTTTTTTTCTTTGTTTAGGTTGCTGTCTGAAATCTTATCCGTATGGTCATTGTTGAATTAATCTGTGAAGATTAGGTAATTGATTTTAGAAGAAAAACGATTGACTTAATTGGCCAATCTGCCAAAGGGCATGTTAAGTTAGATATTTTTGGTTGGCTACCCACCCATGGAGGATGGGCACCAAAGGCATATTAGTACAAAAATTATTTGTTGATGATGTTTATTAACAAAATCTTACAGCATGACCTAGAGTAAATTTCAATGGTTCTGTTTTGTTTGGAAGGGCCACGTGAATAGGTTTGTATGCACTCATTTGATACAATGTGGCTGTTGTGAGCATTCGTTAAAAATAAATGTCGTCAAGGAATCATTGTTGTATTAAGCATCAGAAGACATTTTTTTTCTTTTTGCCAATTGCTGATAATTATTTGAACGCCTGCCCTTAATTATTTGACTTGTTACTGTCATTGCAGTTCAGCTAATAGGTTTTTGACACAAGTTTCAGAATAAAAGAAACCCTGTTTTGAGTTTCAATGAGATTAATCTTGGACAAGACCCCAACTAATACAGAGATATACTAGTCTCACCGTCAGCTACATTGTGAATACTTTTAATTCTGAACTTGATAGTATTAGTGGTGATTTTGAAACCATATTGACAATCGTGGACTTGTTTTGGTATTGCTTCAGACTCCTATCCTCAGTAGACATGGATTGATGTGCAGCAGACCAAACAAATTTGCGGATACAGAAACAAAAGACTTGAATTTGGATTGCAACATTTCCCATAGAGATGGTTGCTTCTTGTCTGTGATATGCCTTCAAAATATGCTTACATTAGTTTCTAGGTCCTGTTCTGCTGCAGTGACTATTGGAAGCATATATCTGTCTGTGTCCAAAAGGATGCCTCATGCCAGTTTGATAATTTTTCCCTTTCAATCCAGGTAGTGACCTGCAGCCCATAAGTACTCAGTTTATCGAAGATCAGAATCATAGCCTGGATTGCAGCTATGACTACCACCAAGTTATACATAGTGTAAGCATTCCCCTTGCTTGTTGAGCGTATTGACAATGGTGGCTTATCCTTTTGTCATTCCTCAAATTATGATATGATATTGATGTTAACCCTTGTAACACATTTCAAAGGTACTATTCCTTACATGGTCATGTGGAGAACATGGCTAGGGAAGTGCAACGGGGAGCTAATGCAGTTGAAGGTGTTGAAGCAACACTTTGGCAGGTATTTTTATGTGATGGTAACACAACAATTATCAGGAGAGTAATTAGGAATGCATAAGAGAAAAGGCCTTTTGATACTAACACATTTTGTTTTGAATTTGTTGGAATGGAACAGGTACCTGAGACACTATCTGATTTGATATTGCAAAAGATGAAGGCTCCTCCTAAAGCTGATGATGTACCAGAAATTAGGCCAGAACAACTTCCGGAAGCTGATGGCTTTCTCTTTGGATTTCCTTCTCGTTTTGGTGTGATGGCAGCTCAATTCAAGGCATTCTTTGATGCCACCCACGACTTGTGGGCACACCAGGCACTTGCTGGCAAACCTGCAGGGATCTTCTGGAGTACCGGTTTTCATGGGGGAGGCCAGGAGCTTACTGCGTTTGTCCCTTTGTTCATCCACTCTATTATTTCCCTCTGATTTGTGCATTCTTTAGCATGAAAAAAAAAAAAAAGAGAATCATAATGAGTTAAATACAGAGTTGTGTTATATTCGTAAGTGCTAAAATTTTCCCCTTTATATTTCTTCATTGCAGATTAACTGCAGTAACACAGTTAGCACACCATGGTATGATATTTGTCCCTCTTGGCTACACTTTTGGCAGTGGCATGTTTGAGATGAATGAGGTAAAGGGTGGATCTGCTTATGGTGCCGGCACTTATGCAGCAGACGGATCTCGACATCCAACAGAACTAGAGCTCCAGCAGGCATTCCACCAGGGCAAATATGTTGCAGAAATAACCAAAAAACTCAAGAACAAGCACCTTTCAGCTTAAAAACAATGCCCTGGATGCCCTAGAATCTGATTCTGCTTCTGTACTACAAACACTAACTAGTTTGATGCATATTGGCCCTAACATCTTGTCATCTTTGAAGATGTTATTATGCAAGCAATGGTCCCATTACTACAGTATTGAAAATCATATTTTTTAATTACTTTCTAATTTCTATAAATTATAAAATGACTTCGTAATTTTATAATTCAAATAGTAAAGTTTAATCCATTTGATAAGGATTTTACTCATATAATGACATATATTTTATAATCTCGTATCTCACTTTCTCTATTTATATTAACACCCTTTTATTAAAATAAAATTTTTATGATTTGAATGTAGAAAAAAAAAATTTCCCCTTTGTAATCATATACGAAGTGATTTTTATTTTCTTTAAAAAAAATGAAGTAAATAATATTTTGGAATATTATGATGAAACGACGCCGTTAAAAATGGCAACCTCACAAAAACCTGCCTGCGATCTCAAGGAAACGCATTTGTGCTTTTGACTTCTCTCTTCACTGCGAAGAATGGAGAATCTATGGCGAGCAGCGACGGGTCAGGATCCGAACCCGGACGACTACAAGGACATCGAGTTCTGGTCCCAGCCGGAGCGTACTGGCTGGCTCACCAAACAAGGTGACTACATCAAGACCTGGCGCCGCCGCTGGTTCGTGTTAAAGCAAGGCAAGTTGTTGTGGTTCAAGGATCCATACTCCGTCAACCGCAGCTCTACCCCTCGCGGCGTTGTTTCGGTCGACACCTGTCTTACCGTCAAGGGCGCCGAGGATGTTCTGAATAAGCCCTTCGCCTTCGAGCTCTCGACTGGGCAATCCACGATGTACTTTGTTGCCGATTCCGAGAAGGAGAAAGAGGACTGGATCAATTCGATCGGACGATCGATTGTGCAGCACTCCCGGTCCGTCACCGAGTCGGAGGTCCTCGATTACGACAGCCGAAAGCGGTGATTTCTACTCTTAAACCTTCTCTTGTATTTTATAGAATTTGATATGTGGAATAAACCGAAGTAGTTCTGAATTTCTTTTTCAATTGCAACCTAGTTCTCTGTTTATTTTTCTTTAATTTTGGGAACTCAATTTCTATTTCGTGGATCAAAGTTGTTTGCTTTTATGATTGGAAATGTTAAAAGAGAATGATTGAATTGAGAGACAGAATGAGAATCCATTAACAGGGTGCTGGCTGTCTCTGAGCCCCTCCCATTCCTCCTTATTTTACTTAGGATTTAGCAATCTGCATCATTTCAATTCCTATTGCCAACAAACTTGTGTTTGATGGTAGATTGTTCTGCAACAATGCCTTTTATCTCCATTCTTTCATTTGGAGACTCTACTACAGGACTCCTGCTTTTGCAACTTCGACCATCTTCTCCAAAATACTAGTTCTCCTTCCCCTGTTCCTTGCTTTTGAACTTTCAGCATCTTTAGCTTTAGCTTGTACCTCCTGCTGGAATGAAGGTTCAAGAATCTTTATCACTCTTTCTGGTAATGCTGTTTTGGTGTATTGGTGAATTTTGAAACCTTCCTTGAACATAGGGTCAGTTGGTCACTTTCCTGTAATGATCTCCAACAATAGAGTCCCAAAGCTATTCACATCTCTGCCTTGATTCCCATGCCCTATGCTGGATTTTGTTGGTTCATGATAGTAGGTGTAGGTGTAAAGAGTAATTCCAACTATTTAAAAGATTGAATATTGTACCTAGTATAGAAAGAGACATATACCTGGGGTAACATATCCCAGCAGTTGCTTTTACTCTAATGGAACTGCTGTGTTCTTGAAAAGCACTAGTTTGAATGGTCTTTCGAAATCTTGACATCCCAAAAACACTCACTTGGGAAACCATGTCATGATCAAGTAGAACATTACTTGGTTTGAGATCCCCATGAACTATTGCTGGTTGGCAATGGTAGTGGAGATATTCAGTTGCAGATGCAACGTCAATGGCAATATTGAGTCTCTGGATGGAAGCTGAATTGTCAAACTCCATCTTGATCTTCACTTGGATGCAGCCACTCTTCTAAACATCCATTTTGTATTAACTCCTAAATGATAGCCTTAAAATCTGTTCCTTTAAAATCCAAACATGAGTGGACACAGACAGCTATAATTCTGTCTAGATTTCAATGTCCGATGTTGCTCAATGCTTTACATTCAGCTAGGAAACAACTCTTGGAACCTCCCTCTTGTCTAAGGTTTAGCACCTTCATTGCCACAGACGCTCCATCTCCACCTAAAATTCCTTTGTAGACACAGCCCAAATTTCATTTGCGATTCAAATTGGATGCAAGAACTCATTGGTTGCCAGACTCAGAAATAATTGTGGCCAAAGCAGAAGCAGAAGATAAACCCACTTTCAACAGAACTATTCAGGACCAACACAGAAGACTACAGTGATGAGCATTGTTCACACGTGAGGAAGAATTCCCTGTTCTGGCACCCAGCTTAACTCCCGCATCTGTTGAAGAGTGAGTTTTCAAGGAGTTTTGAAAGGGGCTTAATTCAATTTTTAGTCTATTAACTATCAATTTAATTTCATTTTAGTCTAAAAAGTTTATTTTCTTTCTAAATGATTTATAAACTTTGAAGAATATTTCAAAATAATTTACCGTACAAAATTTTGTTAGATTTAACTGAAAGAATAGTCCTTTAAGTTTTGAAAAAATAACACTATAATCTTAATAAAATATAATTATTTAAGAAATATTTTATAGAGATAGATTAGTTAGAATTTGTAATAAACTTAAGCAACTAGTTCAATTTAAACAAAGAAACTTAGTAAGTTTAAAACGAGAGGTTTTAAAAGTAAATTTGTTTTACAGAATAGATTGTATATAATTTGTTCTGTAAAGTTATTTAAATGTCTCTAAAAAATAATATAAAAATAAACTTAAGTATATTTAAATAATTTTACAAGATAAACTGCATATAGTATGTTCTGTAAAATAGTTTTTTGAAAAACACATTTAGCAAGATAATAATAAAATCTATTTTTACGGTAAATATAAATTTAAGTACTAAAAGATAAAACAGAAAAATACAATGAGAGGATTAAATATTTTCTTATAAAATAAGAAATTTTGTTAAAGATAATAGATATCTTTGTTAAAGATAACAGATTAGATGAAATTAAAATAAATATGAAAGATAATAGATAACATTAAAAGAATTTAAAGATAATAGATGAAATTAAAAAAAATAAAAAATTAATAGATGATTGGTTAAATTAACCCTTTTGAGAGTATAGAAAAGCAATTGTTGCCCCGTCCTTGCGGAGAACTCAAATTTGAGCTACTTCAGATTTGGAAACTACGTGACTCACCCCGGTAGTCTGTGATTAAATGAAGGAGCAGGACTAGTATTGAATGTTGAACTAGTTCCATCCAATCAAAATTCATGTGAATCTTAATATCTTGTCGCCTTCTTCGGGCCATAAGAAAGGACCAACTTTAGATCTTATCATGTCTACAAAACTATTACCATTAGAAAAATGAGGATGTACAACTTGGTCCACTAAGAATATGAAGTTTAGTTTTTAATATTTTAAATAATGTAACTTGTGGCACATCATTGATTTCAAATTTTAGTTCCATTTTTCATTATTCAATTTTTATCCATCTGACTTTTGCTTGTGATTATCTCTCGCCACGGTGAAGGGATGAAGAATCCTTATGGAGTGACCATTTGTCTCCTCTCTTCTCTTGCCCTACGTGTGATAAGATTCTAACTCATGTTTGCTTTATCTCTTTTTTTCCCTTTAATCATGAACTTCTCTTAGTCTTGGCTTTAATTCATCCCTATTTGATCTCTTTTCCCCCTCCCTATACTAATCTTTGTTATTAGAAAGACTATTTTGGTATTAAAAATCAAAATTTAAGGATAATTTTGATTTTTTTTTAAATTTAAAGACAATTTTAATACAAATTTAAAAGTTAAAGGACTAAATTTGATATTTTAACCAAATAACTTTAATGAAAGCTTAATAAATTACGGATTAAGGTTTATTTGAAAAAGAAAGACATGTCTTACACATTAGAGGAACAAATGTCAAAGAAGTAAGTATATTCCTGTGTGCAAATCCCAATTCCTTCTATTATCCCCCAATCACCACAACAACTCCTGGCCTATATAACTGGAGAGCCGTCATTTTTATCTTCTCCGCGCCCGCCTCTTACCTTTCTTCTCCATCACACAAAACTTTGGCACTCGCCTTTCACCGGAAATGAGTTTCCGACGAGTACCCTTTGCCTTTGTGCTGTTCCTTTATCTTATTGTTTCTGCTCAGTCCCGTAACTTTGATCATTTTCAAAGGAAGCACAAAATCAATGGACCCATCAAAACTCTGGTGATTGTTGTCATGGAAAATCGCTCCTTTGATCACATATTGGGATGGCTCAAGTCGACTCGTCCCGATATTGATGGTCTCACCGGTCACGAATCCAACAGGGTCAACGTGACCGACTCAAATTCCGACGAGATTTTCGTTTCTGACGATGCCATCTTCGTTGACTCTGATCCGGGTCACTCCTTCCAGGCGATAAGGGAGCAGATATTCGGCTCCAGCGAGAGCTCGGCGAATCCGGCACCGATGAACGGGTTCGCTCAGCAGGCGGAGAGCATGGGTGAAGGGATGGCGAAGACCGTCATGAGCGGGTTCGAGCCGGGTAGGGTTCCGATTTACACTGAGTTGGCAAACGAGTTTGCGGTGTTCGATCGGTGGTTCGCGTCAGTTCCCGCGTCAACTCAGCCGAACCGGTTCTACGCCCACTCGGCCACGTCTTTTGGAGCCATGAGCAACGTGAGGAAGGACCTAATCCATGGATTCCCCCAAAAAACGATCTTTGATTCCCTCGAAGAAAACGGCCTGACGTTCGGAATTTATTACCAGAATATCCCGGCGACCCTGTTCTTTTCGTCACTAAGGAAATTGAAACACATAACGAAGTTCCACAGCTACAGCTTAAAGTTCAATCTCCACGCAAAACTTGGGCGGCTGCCGAATTACGTGGTGGTGGAGCAGCGGTACTTCGATATCAATATATCTCCGGCCAACGACGATCATCCGTCGCATGACGTGGCGAGAGGGCAGAAGTTTGTGAAGGAGGTGTATGAAACACTGAGAAATAGTCCACAGTGGAAGGAGATGGCTCTGCTGATTACGTACGATGAGCACGGCGGGTTCTATGATCATGTGCCGACTCCTGTATCCAATGTTCCCAACCCAGATGGAATGGTTGGACCCGACCCATATTATTTCGGGTTTGACAGGTTAGGCGTTAGGGTGCCAACCTTTCTGATTTCCCCTTGGATTGATAAGGGCACTGGTGAGCTCTCTATAATCATCTGTTTTCTTTTTTATATAGACTAGTTTATGTTGTTCCAATTTGGCAACAGGATTGGATGATCCTATAACATTCAGTTCACCTGTCTTGACTCAGAACTTTTAGGCAAAGTGCATGAAGAACATTTGCTTACAGATAAGATTGATAATTAGAACAGTTTTTGAACATAGGCAATTTGTTACAACCAGGGGAAGGGGGGAGGGGAAATGGGGAAGGAATTGGTGGGGCTTGAATACAACCCACCAGATGAATTCCACATGAGCCAGTGGCTAAGCCACTGTGCCTGTAGCGTGGATTTCGATTAATGATTAGAACATGATTGGTGGTTTAAATCTGGGAAATATTTAAAATTTGGCAGAAAGCTTTGTTTCTAAGATTAGTTGTTGGACGGTTCTATTTAAAGTCTTGTCTTTATTGCAATTGGTAAGTGTTGTTTTCTTGTTTGTTACTTTGCTTTAAATGTTGGTCTTTTGGAAAATCGGGAAGACAACGTTTGCAATAGTATTAGTACCGTATGTTGTGGGTGATTGTTTTCTGTCTTTTGGGGCATGTGTAATGTGTTTTCCTGTGGACCGATTTTAGTTTTCTGCCGTTTTGATTGGACACTGTGTTTTCGTTTCTGTTGATGAGCATTTTCAATCACTTATTTTTGGATTTGTTTCTGATGTTGGTGAGGGCAATGGATTGAGAATTAAGAAATTTTATCACGGACCCATTTAGGTACCATGGGATTTGATACAAGTCATGTACATGTATGAATACAAGAACATTCATATGGATTTTCCTTGACCAAACAGCTTCTGGTTTAAAAGATAAGCTTTTACACCTAAGATTAGAACTTGATGCTGGGTAGTCAATTTCAAAGATGTAAGCTTTTGTTTATATATCCAGTTGGCTTTCCCTCTTTTACAGGGTTTGCTATCTTTACCTTCATGTTGCATTTTTGTGTTTTTCCTCCCCACAGTTTTTTTACACTTGACTGTTTGGTGCAGTGATCCATGAACCAGTTGGTCCAACACCTGACTCACAATTTGAACACTCTTCCATCCCTGCTACGGTGAAGAAGCTTTTCAACTTAAACTCAAACTTCCTCACAAAGAGGGATGCTTGGGCTGGAACTTTTGAGAGTTATTTTCGCCTCCGTGATACTCCCCGCAATGATTGTCCAGGTTCTATATCCATTTTCTTCCTAAAGATCAGCTTGCATTTTGTTTGCTTCTAGATGTTATATCACATCAGTTGGGACATTTGCTGCAGAAACTCTTCCGGAGGTGAAGGTATCATTGAGGCCATGGGGACCAAAAGAAGATGCAAAACTATCAGAATTCCAAGTTGAACTGGTCCAGCTTGCATCGCAGCTGAATGGTGATCATGTCCTCAGTACTTACCCAGACATTGGCAAATACATGACTGTAGGTGAAGCCAACAGATACGTGGAGGATGCAGTCAAAAGATTCCTGGAAGCTGGACGAGCTGCCTTAAGAGCTGGAGCTAATGAATCTGCCATTGTTACAATGAAACCTTCTCTTACTAGTCGAGCCAATGCAGTGGACCACAGCAACTACCTTGAAGCCTACTAGTCTATTCTACAACTCCCACATCCACTTGAAAAACCAAATCTCCCCTGAGATGCTATATATCATATTCTCTGGATAATGTATTATATACAAGCCATAGGAACTAATTTATAGACAACCTGACTCAAGGATAACGAGTCTGCAGACATTAGCTTATTATGATAGAAACGTAGCCTCTGTAAACTTCTCCTTTCCACAGTACGAAGTATGAACTTGAATTAGCTTCTATTATCAGATAGATTGGCAGATCTACATCCGACAACCCTTTTTTTTTTTTAATTAATCGACAGGTGAGGTGAGTCTAACCTAAGTTGCAGCTACTAATGTTGAGTTTGGAGGCCGAGTTAGAGATATATCCATTTATTTGAGTCATTGAAGTAAAATGCCCAACTAGTCAAATTGGAGTGGGAAGAACTGGTCCTACACGATGATACCTAAGAAAACGAAGGCAGATGTGAACATATTCGAAACTACCATTCAACGTTGTTTCACTGCATTGAAACTATCCTGTTATATCTTTTCCCCCATCTTCACCTCCAACCATCCAGCAATCTATGGAGGTTTCATGGGAGGAGAGCGTGACACACTCTATCAACACCGTTTACCTTCTCTTCTCTGCTTACCTAGTCTTCGTTATGCAACTCGGCTTCGCCATGCTCTGTGCTGGCTCTGTCCGAGCCAAAAACGCCATGAACATAATGCTCACCAACGTCGTCGATGCCGTTGTCGGTAGCATTTCGTACTACCTCTTCGGCTTCGCCTTTGCATTTGGTGACAGCTCCAACCCTTTTATTGGGACCAAATTCTTTGCTCTCAAGGACATCCCAGATAACACATATGATTACAGCTTCTTTCTTTACCAATGGGCTTTTGCTATTGCCGTCGCCGGAATCACCAGTGGCTCAATCGCCGAGCGGACTCAGTTCAGTACTTATCTGGTTTTCTCGTTTTTCCTTACTGGGTTTGTTTACCCCATTGTGGTTCACTGGGTTTGGTCCACCAACGGTTGGCTCAGTCCGAGTTCAAGCGAGTCCCTGTTTGGTTCTGGTGCTATTGATTTCGCCGGGAGCGGCGTGGTGCATCTGGTGGGTGCTGTAGCTGGGTTTTGGGGCTCTTTCATCGAAGGCCCACGAGTAGGCCGGTTCGATGCGTTTGGTAGACCCATGCCAATGCGCGGACACAATGCGACTCTAGTAGTTCTTGGTACATTCCTGTTGTGGTTCGGCTGGTTTGGATTCAATCCCGGGTCATTCGATAAGATTCTCGTCCCTTATCCCAGCACAACAGATCAAGGCAACTGGACCGCAATTGGCCGAACGGCGGTCACCACCACGCTTGCTGGCTCGACTGCCGGAATCGTGACCTTATTTGGCCGGAGGTTGCTAGTGGGGCATTGGGATGCATTAGATTGTTGCAACGGAGTGTTGTGTGGGTTCGTGGCAATCACATCAGGTTGCTCCGTGGTTGAGCCATGGGCTGCTATTGTTTGTGGATTTTTCGCTGCTTGGGTCTTGATTGGGCTCAATCTCCTGGCACTGAAACTGAACTTCGATGACCCACTGGAGGCAGTTCAGTTGCACGGAGGATGCGGTGCTTGGGGTCTAATTTTCACCGGCTTGTTTGCAAAAGAGGAGTTTGTGGTTCAAGCCTATGACTCGGGTGCGACTGGAGTGGAGCGACCCTATGGTCTGTTCATGGGTGGGGGCTGGGGTCTGCTTGGAGCACAAGTGGTTGAAGTTTTGGTGATAGTGGGCTGGGTAAGTGTGACAATGGGGCCACTCTTCTATGCACTTCATCGGCTTAACCTCCTTAGAATTTCTGTTGAGGAAGAAGTTGCAGGACTTGACATTTCCAGACATGGAGGATATGCTTACACAGCTCATCAAGAAGAACGCCAACCTCAGCTTTACGCTGATTACATCACCCTGCAGAATTAGTAATGACTAGAATTCCAATGGTATCACCTTCTGATTCTTCTTCATTTTTAAATTGGATTCACGTTTTGTTTACTTGAAATGCAGTCCAACTTTCCAAAAGTAAAAGCTCCCCCCCATTATTATTTGTATTTTTTTTTTTCAATAGAAGAGTAGAAGGAAATTGTCTTATTGTTAAAAAAAAGAACAAAGACCAACCAAACACTGCAAATTAAGCCTCCATGGGAACAATGCTTCCCTAAACTTTGATTATCACCAGATGATCTAATGTTGTAGACAAAATATGTTTTGAGGCCAAAATCAGAGACAAAGGAACTATTTTACATTTGAAAATGGTAGTATGGCAGATATTAAGCCATGTTTTATGTACATAATAATATGGACAAGTACCAAGACCGGTATGCACGCCCTCACCTAACATGAGAATCGTAGGGAACAAGAATATGGGCTGGGACAACAACAGGTAATTTATCGATGTACATGAACAGCCTCTTACAGTTTTCTCTTGAAATTGTTGATGGATCAACAATATCACACTTATCTGTACAGATCCAGAGGTCGCATGAGTTGACCCTTTTCAGACTATCTCGACAGAAGGGGCACGACTGAGACCGTCCTCGCCTGAAGTCATAACAGGAATAAACACATCATCAGGTGAAAATTCAAACCAAGGAGCAATTTCATAACCATGACAGACCATGCCAATTCTCTAAAGTGGATAAACATCAAGTTCCTTGGAGTCAACATATCTCTAACAACATAGATATATCATTGGATGAAGGCCCTAAAGTGAGTTAAAATTCTGTAACTTAAGGTGGCACAAGAACACTTAAAAGATCCAACTCAAGATTGTGGCAAACATGCATCACCAATGACAGACACATCCAATCTACCTCAAGGGCCAAAACAATAATTACATTTATAGAGGAGCAGAATCTCGAAAACACTTAAGGTCAATGAGACAACAGAGAGATTATGCAAATACTTGGGATTTTTGTATGGGAGTATAATAAGGTGGCTGTAGATCATATTTGCCAGTATGCTGTATGTATGCATACAAGCGAAATAGCTTACCAGTCATGATAACACTTCAAACATAGTGAATGGCTGCAATTAGGCAATACAACCATGCTGTTAACCTCCATGCAAATCCCACATTCCTCTTCTCTTTCAATGTCAAATTCAGAAAGCTTCCCTCTTTCCAACTTATCTTTCCTTCTGTATCTGATATTACATAAGTCTCTCTGTTTCCTATCTTCCAAATCAGTTATCCCTTTATGAAGTTGCAGCAAAGAAGGAAATATTACCCCTGTTCACAAAACATAAACAAGTGAGCAACAAGTATTGAAGCAATTACCCCGTACAAGGCAGCATTTTTTCTTCTCATAATTTTACATTTTTTATCTATTTTTCTGAAAGTGAAACAAATTTTCAAGTAAAATAATATATGACAACAGTTAAGCATCTTTCCATGAAATTTTTTTCCATAAAATTAAATAAAAGAAAAAGGAAATTGTCCACCTCGAGAAAATTCACACTCACCATAAAATTCTCTAATGGTGGCTTTCCTCTCATAAACAGACATGGTAGTCTTGCCATCAGCGTAGGTCTGCATCAATCCATTACATGCCAATAAGAAGTCACAATAAAACAATTACTAATCTATTTCAAATCAAAGAAGAATACAAAGAGTCAAAATTGAAAATAAAAGATTTGAGGGAATTGGGAGAGGGTTAATAGAGAACATGATCAAGAACAAAAATTAACGAAGCTTAAAAGTCTATGCTGGAGATAAGTATACCATATAGATAAGTACTCTAAGCAAACCAAGGGCACCGGCTAGCTGACAATCAGTCCACTGAACAAGGAAAAGGAAAAACTGAGCTGCTGGACTGTAAGACAGTCTCATCTGAAGACGCGCTCCATTATCCTCCCTCGGAAAGTCTAAAGCCCTGAACAAGACAAGCACAACCCAGAACAGGCTAGGATTAACATATCAATTTTCAAAGCCCTGGAAAAAAAAAAGAAGAAAAAACACATGTCCAGTTCTTGCAAAGAAAAGAATGAATCGAGAATCAGAATTACAAGATACACCTCTAAAAAGCTAGAATCTAGATTATTCTTCAGAACTACATGTGCTCAATTTCAGCTTTACTCAGGTTAGATTCATTACTCTCTAATTACCATACCCTTCAAAAGCAGTTAATGAATCCCACTATAATTCCAAACTCAGAATTTTGCAAATTATAATAGCATGTTGACAAAAGTATATCCTTTTCTTTCTTAACACAGAATTCCCTCCCCACCCCAGTCCCACTTTTTTTGCAATCAACAAAGCAGTAAAATATCACATTCAAGGAATGCAAAGTAAACAGGACCCAAGTCATCAGAATTGACAGGCATGAGTCAGAATCCAATCAGTGTCACCAGAAAAAAACTAAATAAAAATCAAAACTTGAACAACGAAAATTTCAATAATTCGTCCCGGACGCATTTAAAAAAGACATATTATCAAATAAAAGAGAAAGAGATATACAGAGTGTTGGCGTGCTGAATATCAGCTGCAAGCGCTTTCAGAGAATCCTTGAAAGATAACTTTCTCATGGGCAGAAACTTTCCCAGAAAACAATTCCCATCAAACAAAAAAGAGATCAGGATCAGTGAGAGAGCCCCTTGTAATCCACAAAGCTATCTATTTATCTATCTATCTATCTATCTATCCCCAAATTTCAATGCTGAGATTTCTATAATTTTATTCAACATCAAAACCAGAGACCCAACAAACCAACAAACTCGGCTGCACTCTTCTGCCTCAGTTCAATGACTTCTTAAAAGAGAGGGAATGGAGTTCCCGAAATTACTGCTTTACCCTTGTTTAGCCTATGGGTGCGATGATCCTGTGTCGTCAATTCTTTTCGACGGCGATCTATTCAACCAATGAGATGAAGCCACGAGGGGGAAACAAAGGCGGCAGATAAAACAAGTGTGGTTGCTTGATGACGTGGTGACGTATTATTGGCCTCTGAAGAGGATACGATTTAGTGGCGTCTGTAACTGTAAGGGAACATAAATTTTCCGCTGGCGCCGCCTCAAGTTTTGCAGACCGACGGCTCCTAAAGTCCTAATCTATTTACTATTTTTGGCTTTATCCGGAAAGTTTATTTAACTTTGTGCTTTTAATAAGTACACAGTTAAAAAATATAAAAAAAATCTAATAGTAATTTCAGTTATTAGCCATGTGGATTATTTTAATTAAGTAATTAATTAAGTAAAAAATTATTTTGTATTTTTAATATTAATACTAAAAAATATAATAACTATAAATTATACCCTTTAAGTACATGTTAAAAATCTTTTATTAATTTTAGTGACAATAATTTCGTTTTTTGCCATTATATACATTTTAAAGGTAAAATAAATATATTTTCTTATATATTTATTTATGTAAAAAATAAAAATATTAATTTTAATTTTAGCACTTATGTTTGGTAGATATTTTTAATTAAATAATTGTAAAATTAATATCAATTTTTATTTTATATATTAATTATAAAATGAGACAATAAATGCACCATTAGCATCTGTTAAAAAAGCATTAATTTGATTTATTAGGAATTTAGGATGATGGTAGTACATGATCCAAAAGATAATCCCAAATGGATGTGCTTCATCTACTCATATTCCATCTCTTAATTATTCTCAGCCGATTTTTTCTTTCTTTTTTTTCTTTAATATGAGACGAAAACTACAGTATTTGACTTCCTTAACATTTCTTTCACAAAAAACATGAGTTCTTTACAAATGCTTAATTTTTGGATATTAGTATCATTAATGAAATGATTAGGAACAATTGAAAAATAAAGAATTAAAGCAGGAAACATAGGAGGATATATATATATATATTCCAGATAAATCACTACACTGTGTTAGTAGTAATTTATACGTGAATGTCTAGAACGGATAAAGTTTGTGAAAAGATTTCTTACTAAATTTTGGTTCATTAGAATGGTTCATTTTGATAAATAACATTAAATCTGTATTATGACTATTCACCTCTTATAATTTAGGTATTCAAAAATTATAAAAGACTTTTTTTTTCAATAACATATAAATAATTACTATAGTTTTTTCTTTTGGTTTTTCATTCGGTATCCAAAATTTCATCCGATTAATCCGGATCGACCGGCGTCATGCATATGAAAATGGTAAGTGAGTTTTCCAATGAAAACGACTGTATACACAAGGTTTTGAACATAAAATCTTACTTAAATTAAAATAAATCATTTATCTTGATCCAATCCTTAATTAGTAAATAATTACTATAGTTTAAAAAAAAAATTGGTACACTAGCTACCAACCACGGTTGATTGTGCTTCTTGTCGTTTAATTATTAGCCTCCTAGATTGACTGTAGTTGGCCCTACCCAGCCGAAAGGCCGGTATTAAGGACCAAATTCGGTGGACATGATTTAAACTGGCTGGTTGCAAAGTATTACTGTACTTGATCTCACCCAATAATATTGAAAAGAGTACATAGGTTGACAATATAATAATAATAATAAGTAGAGATAAGGTTACAATCTAAATTGATTGTTGCAAAAGTTGGATTACTATCAGTCTCAATCAGAGAGCCATGTGAAAA